CCACAACATGATAGAAAGTTCATACTGAGAATATAACACAATACAATAATAGTAATCAATACCAATATTAATACCAGGAAAGAATAAGACAGAATCGGAAAACTAAAAATGGGAAAATGAGAAAAATTATAACACCGAGGCAGAGCAACAAAGAAATGAGAGGAGATGTGTGGAGGGCAAGAGGTAATGATAGAGAGAAACGGAGTAAGAGGTGAAAAAGAAGAGAAAGGTCCCAAAAAAAGTCACTCAGTTGATTATAAGATGATTGTTTTGCAAAAGTACAAGAAACAAATTATGAGCAGATATCGAAAGAGTGAACAACACTGAGAAAGGGAGAGTCATGAACATCAAAAGCATTAGCACATAAAGAGGACATCAAAGGGTTATGCAAAACCATATTTTCCTAACGCATAATCATAACTTGCTCATGGAGTCGTCGCACAGATTTTTTTCACAAAAAAAAAGGGGGGGAGGAAAGAAAGGCATAAAAAAGTTAACAAATGGTAGAAAAGAAAGGTGTAGAATGGCGATGGGGGACGAAGGGACAAGACGGAGAAACGTTAATAAGAATAGTATAAGGTGTCTGGATGTAATAATAGGCCAAATCCAAAATTGAATCCTTCCGTACCCGGGGCCAAAGATTCAAATTTCCATGGTCAAGACTGTTCGGGATAGGGGGGATTATTGGATGTCACCCTGAGACGAAGGGTGGCGTCTTTCGATCCCGTTGCCATGCCAGCTTAAAACACAAGGGCTTTAAAAGAACGTCAAATCAAGGACAAAATGCGAAACGTAAAACACATAATAATAGCGAGAGTCGTTTACGTTGCAAGGTGCATCAGAGAATTGGTTGCTTTCAGATATAAAAATACTAGCAGCACCGATAGCCGTGATCGGTGGCCAATATCTTGTAAAGAAAAGGGAGAAAAGAACCACCAAAAACATATAATGGAAGAGGAAAATGTCCGTCAAGGCCGTTTGTACACTCGTTTCGTCACGCTGTTAGCGGAGTTAGCCTGAAAAGAAAGAAGGAAAAGATATCTCCAAACGCAAAAATAGAGAGAATGCCTCCACGTTCGTATATATGGTAGGTCGTTAAGTCGTTAATGATTTGTAGAGTGCTGAGCAAGATATATATATTCCCATACTGCGGCTGTATCCCATATATTGGAGATTTTCGTTTCGTGTCCCGTTTATTGGTGGCGATAAAAAAAATGGAAGGAAAAGGGAGGGAAAAGTAAACGGCATTTTATCCCCTGATGGTGTTGCGGTTTTCATCGGATAATTGTTGGAGTGTACGAGTTAAAATGTACCGAATGGGAAAAATGTAGGGAAGCTTTACGGAAGAGGTCCATATATCGTCTTCTGTATCGGTAGATACCCTGTCACGAGTTCAATTTAAATGAATTTGCTCGTACCCTTGTCTTCGCTGGTTGCAACTGCCACAAGAGCCTCTAAACGGGCCATCCCACCGGCGGGATGATTGGGGCTGCCTGAGTAAAACACATGTCGTGGCTCCGGATTGGGGTATACAGGGTAGGCATTATTGTTAGTAGACTGGGGCTCTCGGGGAGCACAGGTCTGCCACTAATCAAAATTAGTACATTTAGAGCTTCAAAAGGCTTCGCGGCAAAGTAAGAAAATTAAAATCATGGACTTACATTATGCGGAGTTTCAGTCTGGATATGTGAATGATGCCTTTCGATATCACCATGACTAGGTACTATGGCAGGATGGTACTCAGGCGCAGATGCCGATGGCGTTGCTACCCCTTCGCTACTGCTTGAATCTTCAGGAGATGGGTTCGCAAGTGGGCCAGTGGATGTGGATGTCGGGAGAGGACCGTTGTACCATCCACGTCTTTTATTCTGGGAAGGCGTTGTAGGACCATTAGAGTTTGCACCAGCGGCAGGCTGCTCAGGGGGCTTGGATGCATCTGGAGTTCTATTTATTATTGGTTCAACGGTTTGTTGCTGGAGGGAATCAAACGGCTGTGACGCAATATTCCGTAGCTCGCCGATTGTCTGCTGGCTCCACTGCGAAGCATCCTTGTTGCCTCGAATGTCAAGTTTTGTGAGATTTTGGTGAAGAGACATGTCAAATGAGACATGGCCCCGGCGGTGGCCAGGTCCAGAAACAGGAGGAGGGGGTCGAGCAGTTGGCAGCTGAGTACTGAAGCCCGGAACGAAAGTAGGAGCAGCATTAGAAGATGTCAGAGGCCTATCAACTTGCATGGGAGTCGGCTCTCGTCTTGGTGGGGTCGAAGGGCGCTGTTGGACGTGGTCAAAACTCTCAATTCCAGGTAAGCGAGGTGGTTGTAAAGGATTGGTCCCGAAAGCAGGTTTGGGTCCATCGGTCGGCTGATTGAACCAAAACCCACTGCTTGAGGGACGGCCAAAGCCTGTGTGTGAGGATGGATGCCATGTCCTTCTACGCCAATCTGCTTCGGCCATGGACAAATTCGAGTCATCTCGTGGTGTGTCCGGCGCGTTCGGGCTTCCGAATACACCTCCTCCGCCATTTGAGTATGACGAGGCAGATGACGCTAGCGGTTTAGGGAATGCTGGTGGATACGTATTTGCAGGATCAAATAGCCTCGTCCCTGAAGGAAATGACAAACGACGGCCAGAACCCCTTTCGGGCCAGAAACCCGAAGCCACCGAAGATGGGGATCCATAGTAATAGGGTCCTCCATCTACTGGAGGATACGTAGCAGAAGCAGGTGTAAACAAAGCGCTACCTGGTGACTGAGACGGAATCCCGTTGATTTGAGCGGGAGGCGTCCTTGGCGGGGAGTGCATAGTATCAAGTGACAACCTCGCTCTGGCAGCGCCGTCACCAGCCATCATCAAAGGTGGTGGGCGACGGCGTATCTCCTGAGCTTGGCTGTAAGTAGACATTGTCGAAGCAATACTTGAAGCTGATAAATTCCTGCTATGGCCACGACTATGTCCTCCCTGACTACCCACTGTACCAGCACGGTTTCTACCTGGCGGTCTGACACGGTCGGTACGGATTTGGCGCTGAAATCGTGTTCCCGTAGCAGCAAGGGAGTCTCCAGGTATATCTTCGTTCACATGGACTGTCTGGGCATGCTGTCGTAGATTGTCAAGGCGTGAGAAGCGCCGTGAACAATGGCACTGGAAGGGACGTTCTCCGGTATGTTTCCTATATCGTTCCGCATTAGATGTCATGGTAAGATATGTGGGGATTAATCAGAACAAACCTTATATGGCGGGCTAGGTGTTCGCTTCTCGTAAAACTTAGTGTACACGGGGGGAAATCTGTACAAAAGAAACGTTGGCCCTTCTTCTTTTTCGACGGAGGAGTGCTCTCGCCGATATCTGTGCCATTTTCAGAACCTCCGTCCGGATCTGCATCAGACTCTACCGCAGTGTTGTCTTCAGGCACCGAAGACCGAACGGAAGAACCCTCTCGGCTATGCGTTCGGCCAGGGCTGGCTGTGGAGGCAGCATTCGAGATTCGAGGGCTGCTAATACATCGCTTCTCAGATTTCCCATTAACAGTCCCATATCCACCATCTCCTTCATTATCTGCAACCCCGCTTGGTGACGAGGCGTGAGGCTGGGTTGGCGACGTTTTCGACGGATCAAGGAGAAGTGAGGAGGAGTTGTTGGAGCTGCCCATTGTGGCATCCATAATTACTGGTGTGGAGGCAGGAACCGAGTTCATGGGAAGAAAAGACATCGCGGTGCAGTCCGTCCCGATGGGCTGGATAGTAGCTCCGCACGACGGAAAACCGCAGTCCACCACAAATTTTTTTAATTGGATTTTGTTTAGCTGTTAGTTGCGAGAAATTATTCACCTGCCCAGGGTCCGTTGTGGATGGCCGGATCGTTGAAATGCTGCGTGCAAGATGAATGTGCACCTCACAGCTTGTGTACTAGTATGCGAAGGAAAAGCTTCGTTTGCTCTTTCCAGGACTATTCCAGACTATTTATAAACGGGAATACGGGATTAACGGTTTTGGCCACTCAAATATTTGGGTGAAAAAAAGAAATTAAAAATTGGTAACCCA